CTGAGAGTCCCTTGGACTGCAAGGCCATCCAACCGGTCAGTCCTAGAGGAGATCAACCCTGACTGCTCTTTAGAAGGCCAGATCCTGAAGATGAAACTCAAATCCTTTGGCCACCTAATGAGAAGGAAGGACTCCCTGGAGAAGAGCCTAATGCTGGGAAAGATGGAGGGCAAAAGAAGAAGGGGACGGCAGAGAATGAGGTGGCTGGATGGAGTCACTGAAGCAGTTGGCGTGAGCTTAAATGGACTCCAGAGGATGGTAGAGGACAGGAAGGCCTGGAAGAACGTTGTCCATGGGGTCGCGATGGGTTGGACATGACTTCTCAACAAAGAACAACTGTTCATTTTGTATTTATTGTCTAGCTGTTTTAAACAAGCTACTAAGATGATTTAGAACAACTAAGATGATCAAAGGCCTGGAGATTAAAACATATCAAGAATGGTTGCAAAATTTGGGATTGGCTAGCCTAGAGAAAAGAAGGACCAGGGGTGACATGATAGCAGTATTCCAGTATTTGAGAGGCTGCCACGAAGAAGAGGGGGTCACCTTATTTTCCAAAGCACCAGAAGGAAAGACATGAAACAATGGATGGTAACTAATCAAAGAGAGAACCAATTTAGGACTAAGGAGAAATTTCCTGACTAAACAGTCAGTGGAACAACTTGCCTCCAGAAGTGGTTGGTACTCCATCATTGGAGGTTTTTAAGAAGGGACTGGATAGCCACTTGTCTGAAATGGTAGAGGGTCTCCTGTTTGAGCAGGGGGTTGGACTAGAAGACCTCCAAGGTCCCTTCCAGATGTATTCTGTTCTGATTCTAACTTTTGATAATATTGTTTTATCAGATTGTAAGTCATGTAACAGTGAGGTCAGGGCATATAAATTTAATAAACAAACAAGCAAATACATAAGATGTGATTTAGACCAGCGGTGTCCAACTTGGCAACTTTAAGACTTGTGGACTTCAACTCCCGGAACTCCCCAGCCAGCAAGGGGAATCATATTGCATCAGAATGGAATTTATATTGTTCATTTATGACTTTTCTGTCTCATTTCCACTTTCCTTCTCTCAGCTAAAAGACTATCCAGGCAGTTACTTGAGGCTAAATAATGCAAGCATTTCTTTCTTTTTTTTCCAGAAGGAAGATACGCAGAAATATTTGGAAGCCTTAAATATGGACACGGTAGAGGCACTGCCAGTATTTATGGAGAAGTGATGGAGCTAGTACCACCCAGATGGAGAAACATGATTTTGCCAAAGACACATTGCTAATTTTTTATACCCTTTTTTCCCTGCAAAAGTTCCACTGTTTGGGTTGGTGGTAATGCTGCAAAACCAGACGGTAAACTGAGGAGAAAAACTCTCTCGCCTGTCCAAATTTTGTCTCTAAAGTTTTGCCTCTAAAGTGAACAGAAGCTAGATCTGCACACACACACACACAAACAGGCCAGCATCATGTTTAGGAAAAAAAACCAGCTTCAGATCTAGACAGACCTCTATGTCAGTATCTCTTAACCTCGGCAATTCTAAGATGTGTGGACTTCAACTCCCAGCATTCCCCAGTCAGCACTTGGAGAAATAGAAATAGACCAGCTAGAGCAGGGGTCTCCAACCTTGGCAACTTTAAGACTTCTTGTTCTGACCTAGGCTTCCTGATGTAGTAAAAAGCACACACCAAGAGCCTTGGTAGTACAGTGGTCTAAAGCACCCTGTTATTAAGACCAGCTGCCTGCAATTACTGCAGGTTCAAATCTCTCCAAGGCTCAAGGTTGACTCAGCCTTCCATCCTTTCTAAGGTGGGTAAATTGAGGACCCAGTTCTGGGGGCAATAAGCTGACTTTGTATAAATATACAAAAGTATGAAGGCTATTGCTTAACGCATTGTAAGCCGCCCTGAGTCTCCGGAGAAGGGCAGCATATAAATCAAAATTAAAAAAAAAAAAAAGCCAATTAGTCCCAAAACCCCTTTTTTAAGATTTGAACGGCTCTGAATTCCTTTCATTCACATTGGGGTTGCAAGTTGAGAACTACCTGTATAAGTTAAAGGGGGGAAGAAGAAAGAAAAGCATTACTTCCCATTTTTTTACCAGTTCAGAAAAATGCAAAATAGAATGGCAGCCTCCACTTTTGACTTTACCAGCTTAACAAGTAGGAGCCATTTCTACAATAACCAACTAATCTTAATTAGCTAAACTCAAAGTCAAGTGTTTTTTTTTCCTGTCTCCAGAAAAAAAAGTTTCCTGGTAGAATCAATCAATCAATCAATCAATCAATCAATCAATCAATCAATCAAGTAAGTAAGTAAGTAAGTAAGTAAGTAAGTAAGTAAGTAAGTAAGTAAGT